GTTCCCGATATGCAAGGTCGAGAAGGCGTACCAGAGCGGCACCGCGAAGATCATGTACCACTGCCGCGACATCTCAGTACGCCAGAAGATCATGACTGCCCTTCACAACGCCAGCAAGCCGGCCTGCCTGGGCCCTGCCCCCGCGGGCTTCGTGGAGGACGAGCTGGCCCTCTACATGGATGCGCTGGCCAACGATGTGTGAGTACTACCGACCACGACGTGGAGATAGATGGACGGTCGATGAGGATGCTGAAAGCCACTCCAGCTCAGAGCCAGGTAGTGCAGCAGCTACGCACACCACCTCCATCTGCACCGAGTGCTACCACCTTCACGACTTCGGTCATTTCATGTGGGAAATCTCGAGCTGGTGCAAGCAGTGGCTCGAGCAGCTCGGCGCCGCCATGTACACCACCCTGCACGGCACCGAGTGCAACTACTTCGACTTCTGAGGCTTTCGCCTCCCGCACCCGCTCCTCACCACCTGCTCGAGACCGGCTCGAGAGGGAATACCCAGTCTCTGGAGCTTGGGGGGTAGGACTCCCACCCCCCCAGCGACGACCTCCCCCCCGTCCTCCGCCCGCTCGCAGTCCTTCTGCTGCTGCCTCCATGCCCCCTCGCCCCACTCGCCCTCCCCTTGACGCGCGCACCACCCTTCTCACCGCTCGGGGACGGGGGCGAAGCCGAGGGCCCCAGGGGAAAGCTCGGGGTCGGGGACGCCCCCCTCGGTGAGCTGGTTTGTGTGTGCGCCGCTTCTGTGCCGCACTGCTCACATTCACGAGCTGCGCGGTGCCAACACGAGACGCCAAATTGGCGAGCACCGTCTAGGTTCTCAGAGTATTCATTTCAATACCTGAAGTTTGGAACTCTGGACATTTGGTGTGAGAGAGAGAGATATATATATCCCTGGGAGCGAGGCCGGGGGCCCCAGAACAGGTGCCTCCACCCCCCATGGGGGGCCCGGGGCTCATTTTCCTTGTGTTTTTACAGGGTTTCCGCGTCCTGGGCCTCGGAGGCCGCCGCCTCCGACCCCCCATGGGCCAGGAGGGCCTCCAGAGGCTCCCAAGACGGCCCAAGCGGGCCCCGAGTCGCCGAAATACCGCTCCAGGACGCCCAAGATAGGCCCAAGACGGCCCGAGAGGCGCCCCAAGGCTCTCCACGACGCTTCAAGACGCCTCTCCAGAGCGCTTCCAGAGGCCGAAATCGTCAATTTCACAAAGGTTTTCGAACGATTTTTGGCCTCCCAGCCTTTTCGGCTGTCCGACGTTCCACGACGGCTCAATAGGAACCATTCGTAAGGAACCTTTCGCTGAGACGCGCAACCGCACATCCATCTCCGACAGGAACGCTTACCAGTTGGTCACAAATATGCTGGCTGTGTTGGACACCAAAGATCCCCTTCTTCGTGCAAAGGTTGACACCATGGGTTCTTGCCGCCTCCAGGATAATCGTGCATTGTATGCCAGTGTTCGTGTCAAGTTCAATGCTGGCACAGATGGTGATGAGTTGTGGAATGTCAGGAAGATTTGGGAAAACGTTTGGAATGATGCCGCTCAGAAACATTTGCTGCTGGACCAGATGGTTGGATATGGAGCCAACTTCCCCTCGCGTGTGAAGTTCAGGGTTGAGAGCGCTCCGTGGAAGACCCCGCACTTGCAAGCTATCGGTCGGTTTCACGGGATCTGGGCCAGAGACTCGAGCCTTCGCAACATCCCTCTCAAGGGAACGGCAGGCAGCGGTGCGACCCCCTCGGAGATGTGGACCGACCCAGCGGACGACGGCAATCATAAACAGTTGGGGGAATTCTTGGCAGGCGGTCAGTACGGTGGAACGGGCCAGTGGCGAATCATCAAACAAAATTGGGATGCCTTTGCTGTGCACCATCGTCTTGCCATCACATCCGAGACGATTGAGCAGAGGCTTGCAACAACTAGCCGTCGTTGACAAACGACGCGGGGCTCAGGTGCTGTTACTGTCACTTGCGCCTCGCAGAACATCCAGAAGGCGGGGAAAGCCGACAATCATCAATATCATGTTCTGCGACTCCTTTCTTTCGGCGTCCACTGGGACCTGCTGGGCTTGCAGGAATGCGAGAATGTCGACTTTAATTCAGATTGGTTCTCTGAGTTGTGGGTATGTGCACAGCTATCTTCTTGTCGCAAGGCTGGCATATTGTACCGTGAGGGCACGGCGATACGCGAGCAGTCGAGTGGCGATAGATGGGTGGCAGTTCTTTTCAATCGGGTTATCTTCGTTTCACTTTACATGCCCGACAGCTCTGTGGGGGGCGCTTTGAACATCATGGATGTCTGTCTTCGTTCTATCTCTCTTCTCAGACGGTACTGGGAATGCTTGCATGGTTCTCTCAAGCTTGTGGTTGCCACAGATTCGAATGTGGAAATCAGACCGCACCTCGCGGACATCGAGGGCGTCGCCTTGGCGGGCCCAGGCTTGCTAGGCGCTGATGTTTGTCTTGGGGATGGTGGGGAGGAGAGGGGAAGGAGGAGGAGGTATACGCTGCTTCGTATTAAGGTGGAGGACTGGATGATGGAGGAGCGCTTGATTGCCAGCAACACGTTCAGGGAGAGAGGAGAGAGAGAGAGAGAGAGAGAGAGAGAGAGAGAGAGAGAGAGAGAGAGAGAGAGAGAGAGAGAGAGAGAGAGAGAGAGAGAGAGAGATTACATGGTACGGTTACCGCACAGGGGCAAAAGCGGCGGGGAAGGTCTTGGACTATGTGCTTGTTTCTCGTGGCACCACGTTTGCGCCAGCCTCTGTGTCGTGGCCTCGCGAGTTGGGCAGTGCTCGCAGGTTCAGCGACCACGCACTGGCGCGGACAGAGTTGCAGCTTGATAGACCAGTCGTCGCGCCTAGATATGTTGCACGGGCTGTTCGGTGTCTTTCCGGGTGGATACCGCAGACCTGGCGTGGCGGTTGTTCGTTTCAGACGCGTGTCGACTCTTCCATTGATGCGAACCTCAGCCTCCCAGAGATTGAGAAATGTTGTCATCGTGGGGCGTCCGCTACCTCGACAGCCCCTTCCTCGTCTGTGCTCCCCCCTCCGTCGGCGCCCAGAACTTATTCGACTTCAGGAGGAAGTGAGGAGTTGGTAGAGGGACAAGACTTTGGAGGAGTTCAAGAAGCTCAGGCGGAGGAGGGGCCAGGAGAAGAGGAAGTTCGATAGGAGGTGGATGGCTTGGAGGTTCTCGGAAGGGCGTAGGAGGGCACAGAAGCACGGGTCCGTGGATCGGGTCGATTGGCACGCCTCCCTCCAAGATCACACGCTGAGCTACGCAGATGTGGACGAGCGTGCGCGTACCCTTCTTTCCTTGGCCTCACTGCGTGCCCGGGGTGGCTACTGGATCCCAGGGCGTTCCCCGCTTGCCTGTCTCGGCGGTGTTTCGAGCCCGCTCTCGTCTTCATGCGGCAAAGGCGCTAGGTCCAGATGGGATTTCCGCGGAGGTGCTCAAAGAACTCCCGTATAGGACGGTCAGGGTTATTGCAGGGCTTTTCGATGATATTTCGTGGTCTTCGAGCCGTGCCTGAATCCTGGCGTCAGACCTTCATCACCCTCATGCCGAACAAGTTGAAAGTGCTCGCCCGTCTCTCGGAGGCTACTCGGAGTCTTGCCGTGGAGAGTGCCGTCAAGAAGTGGTACTCGTCGTCGGTCCTTGTCGTCCTCGAGCCCTACTTTACCAAGGTGTTGCCTCATATCTCGCTCTTCGGTTTCGCGGCCGAGCGTAGCTGTGGGGAGATCTCGGGGGCCCTCAAATGCGCGGCCCAACGCGCGGCTGTCTGGGGAAAGGATAGATCGCCCCTGATTGCCAGTTTGGACGTCAAACAAGCCTTCCAGAACATGACTGTTGAAAAGGGTACACGCGCGTTTGACAGACTTCGCATTCCTCCTTATCTTCAGCTTGCTCTTCTGGAACCCTTAGCTGACGAGGTCTCCACGGTGCTCTTCGAGGGCCTCGGGGCCCCCGAGGTCAAAGTTGACAAGCACGTTAGGACGGGAGGGAACGAGAGCCCAGCGTGTTGGAATGCCGTCGTGGCAGCCATGTGGGCTGATATTGTTCTGGCTTGGGGCAAGGGAGGTTTAGGCTTTGAGTGTATCATCCCTAACCAGACAGCGGGTACCGCCGTGGTTAACCATTTCATTTATGCCGATAATGTGTACATCATTGGCTCAGGCCTCAACCCCAATACTTTTCAACGGCAGTTGGATCACTTCGCACTTGCCGTGCATCAATGGAAGTTCGATTGGAAGCTTGATAGCCTACAGGTTGCAGCAGTTGGTTGTTCCCCTGGGAAGTTCTGTACGGATATCCATCGTTGCAATATGCCAGAGGGGAATGGTTTCGACGTTACTGAGGAGTACGTCCGTGTCGAGCTGCAGCAGGTTTCCGTCCTCAATGTGCTGGGTAATAATATTGCTGTTTCTTTCCGCGAGCCACATATTGATGTGGATCGTCGTCTTGACGCTGCTCGCATGGCTTTCTTTGGGCACATGCAATACTTTCGTTCTCGTGCTGTGCATTGGAATCTGAAGTTCAAGCGTTGCCAGTCCATTGTGCAATCTACTCTGCTTTTTGGTTCCGAAGATTTGACTTGGGAGAAGGACTCGATTCACAAGATTCATGTCTTTGAGGGCACATGCCTGCTGCGGATGTGCCACAAACCTAAGCCAGCCAACCAATCCTGGGAAGTGTGGCGTCCTGCTCGATTGCACGTGATTCGCAAGCTCTTTCACGATCATGGGTTTCAGAGCTCTGTTCAACGCTTGTTGTGCCGCTCATGGTTGCAGGCTAACGATGTTGCTGAGTATCATGCATCCACTTGGGATGCTGCTTATGCGAATCGTGATGAGTTGAAACGTCGGCGGCTGGCTCGCCCCATTGCTCCTCCCACTGGTGCTCGTGCTTGGAGAGACGCGAGAAGGTTGCTGCTGTGTTCTTGTCCATCCTGGGGGATTGCGCGTTCAGATTTCAGTGAGGTTCTTCGGCAGA